GTGGTTTAGAGAGTAGATTGTACTCGAACCAGCCAAAGATTTAGAACAGCTGTAAGACAACGATAAGCGAGCTCCAAGAAGTCATAAGGTTTATAAAAATTGGTCAAGAGGCTTTTGTATACTGAGTGTTATTCTGCAGAGCAATCATGGTTTTTTGTGACTTTTAAGCTGGTCCATTATTTGACAGTTTCCAAAGGCCGTCTAGGTAATGTCTTCAATGCTACTGCAGGATCAAACTGATTCGTATCTCCTATCAGTATTTGCGGAATTCTAAATAACGTCAAATACATATAATCTTCTCATTCTAGCTTTCAACGATGACAACTCTCTGTCTCGAGGCATAGTAAAATGATGTTCTTATTACATATTACTTTCGATGAACGGCCATATACCTCATCGTCATGAAAGATGATTCCAATCGAACTCGCTGTTTTTGTGCGGAAACTTCATAAACATTCTGGTCATTGAGGAATGTTTTTCTATATAATCAAATTGATAATGTTACCAAATCACTTTAATGGCACACCTCACACTAGGAGTTGGTGTATGGGCATCCTGTAAAACCACCTAGTATATATTTCAGAGGTCCAATTCTGCTCTAAATAAAATCATTTTTCTGCCCAAGACACTCTACTCAATGAGTTTTGTAAAAACCTTATTCAATAGAATTAAACAACCCATTATTACTACTGTTCCCCTGGGTTCCTAGTGGAACATAAGGCTTCAACTGAACGTCTCCACTTGCTTCTGTCTTCTCATGTACTTTTCACCTGCATCCATGTTAGTCAGCCCATTCTGTTTCAACTCCTCTTCACACGATCTCCCCCATGTCATCCTTGTACTGATGTTCCACTCGGCGCTTCCCTCCCGGCCTGGTTCCACTCGAGCAATGGCTTGACGCGGGCGCGTTGTCACCCAGCGGCCTCCTCAGCGAGTGTTCAGTCCATCTCCAATTTTTCCTGCATATTTCTTGTTGGGCGATTGGTTCTTGTTTTGTTTGTTCCCACAGTTTCTTGTTGGTGATTCTTTCCGGCCCGGCCATCTGATTGATCTTCAGTATAGAGCCAGCGAAGACAGTTGTTGGTTGATAAAGGTCTGCAACAGGCTGTTGGAAACATTCTCTGTGACCCGCTTGCCAAGTTTCTGATCCGTATAGAAAAACTGACTGACTTGACGTTGTTTGTATTGAAAATCCGACTGGATTTTGTTGTTGATGCTGAGTTGAGTGACGAAGATTTCCAGATTGGTTTCAGGTTGATGAATGTGTTTCTCGCCTTCCCGATTCTCGCTCGATTTGACATCCTCGTCCGTTCCGACTGGCTGTAGTTGAGACGATGCTCCCTAGATGAGTGAATGAAGTAACCTCTTTCAAATCTCTCTCATTGATGGTGATTGGAGCTGGTTGTTGTTGTTTGGTTATTTTCATAACTTCCTTCTTGTCTATGTTCACAACCTGATATGTGTAAATTATTTGGCACTTTCTCTGATACCAAATGAGAGATGTTGTAGTTGAATCGAATCAGCTGTATCACTGGGAGTTAGCAATAACAGTATTGATTATTTATTCAAGTAATACACAGTCTTAGCATAAGACGAATAATAAGAGATTTTCTGTATGGAGTTATAAAAAGTCAATTCAAGGAAAAACACAATGAAATCAGGTAGGCTTGATTATCAAGAGCACTCAAGGAAGCGTCAGTTGCGTAGCAGAATAATTTGTCATTGATTTCAATTTGCAGCCATTAATTTGCTTACATTAGCCTATTTATAACGATGCTCATGAGCAGCACCAAATCGTAAGGGGAAGCCGGTACGAACCAAAGCATGTTCGAATTCCCGACTGACGATGCAGAAGAAGCGAAAATCCTGTATTACTGACAGTAACATGATCTATTCGAGTTGCTGTCGTCCATTTAGTCAGTTACTTGTGCGCCGGTGGCACAGCAGTAGAGTGCTCGCCGACCACACATCTGGTACGGGGTTCGATCCCCGGCCTACACACTCCTTTACCCCGCTAAGCCAGTAGTAAGACCTGTAAAAAGGGAAGAATGGACATGAGGCTAGCAACCCAATCGTCTAAAAATAATCACCACTGCTACAGAAACTTCAAGCCTCTAGCTTGAAGCTCTATGTTCCACTGGGAACGTTAAGGAATAAAAAATACACTTAGTTGCCCAGAATAGATTCTTCATGTATTAGGCTATTTTGGGAGAACTGATGATATAACCTAGTTGCTCAGACTGCAGTAGGTGAATTTGGATTTAAACCCTGTACCTATTTACCTAAAAGCCAGTGAACTACATGTCTGTTCGAATCCACGATTGTTTAGTAGAGATAGGACACCAAAGTGTATTGAAATTTGGTGCCAGTTATGAATAGGTTGGGGAAAGCTGAAGGCGACAATCCCCATTATGTGATATATTATCATCTGGTCTCTGTTGATTCATCAGACACTCAGTGTGTGCATTCAAGTCCCCACTTGTCACTGCTTGGTTGAGATTTTCACTTAGTTGATGGTATAATTAATGGTCAGTTGTATCCAGACTTCAATCTGTCGGTAAGTAGATAGAGGTGATAAAACGACAATGATTTCCTGGCCATCTGCTTCCTACTTTAATATCACATTATGGTTTAACAATAAACAAACAGCTGTTCATGGGAGTGCAGTTAAGTTAACGCAGCTTCGACCAAGCGTTTAGCGAAATTCTGAACCTGAACTGAACACCAACACCTTATAGTCGCCAAATTACCACACACACACACACACACACACAAAATGTGTTATCTTAAGTGGCAGATGCCAAAGTTATTTAAAATACTTTTCTGGAACCTTAAATGTGGCTCTCTAGCTTATGCATGTGGATTTCACAGATGATATGTCTAATGTCACATAAACTCGAAAACTTGCAGGCGAAAAGCAACAAACTGGTTGAAGAAGCAGCCAGCCAAGACAGGATTCCAGGTGAACATAGAGAAGACGGAGATAATGAAGATAACCAACCAACAGCAATAACAACAACAACAACCGGCACCAATCACCATCGACAGGAGAGATCTGACCGAGGTTATCTCCTTTGCACTAAGTCACCATAAACAACAAGATTCTGATTGTCAACACAAATCTGAAAGTCGGTCAGTTCTTCTATGCGTGTCAAAAACTTGTACTGCTTGTCACGAAAAGGATTTCCAACAGGCTAGTGCAGACTTATATCAGCAGTTGCCTGCTTCCCTGGATGCAAACTGAAGATCAAAGTCAGCCGGCCAGAAAGAATTAACAGCAATAAGCTCTGGCTGGGAACAACCAGCCAAAAGCCGATCACACAACAAATATGTTGGAGAAAATGAAGATGAATTTGTCGGGCATACATTGAAGAGGCCTTCGAATGACATCACGTGCCAAGCGATTGGTACGGATTGTGCTGAAATTGAAATATCCATAGAGATTCACAGCTTTTATTCAAACTTAGGTTGAATACAGTCTTGTTCACATCGACCTCTTCTAGTGCTTAACACATCCATGTTTTCCTTTCACTGCTAACCTCCATCTACCGCCATAAGATGACTTCTTGTAACTTAATTTATACTTCCACGATGAGATATCACAAATAAACTGTTGGAACTATTTACTGATCAACGGTCAATAAATACATATAAGTTCCCTCTCGAATTTCTTTAAAATATTGTAAGTAATTTTGATGTTGACAAGCACAGATAATACAATCATACAATAGTATGAGTACATTTATCTTCTCCATCCCCCAACTATACTTACTGGATGTGGATCAAAGAACAGTTAGCAGACAATATCAGAGTAACAATTTACTCATCCAAAATACGAAACTATATCTCGAAGTTTATACTGTTCAGCTCGATATGGCACAACTAAACATCACAAAACCTTGTGCCAAATGATATCGGTACATAACTGCACACCTTTAGAGTAACAACCAATCAGCTTAAACAGTGAAGGTGTGTTAGCATCCAATGTGACCATTTCAAGCTTGTTCATGAATTGATATCGGCTGGGAACTAACGAATACTGTACAGCTATTTCGTCCTATTTGGAGACTCTCGATCAGTACTCACTTATGACCCCACTCCACTTCTAGGGTTCGATCCAGCACCTTTATGTGATGAGGTAACCTCAATGAACATTCAGCCATTGGGTAGGAATCCAATGACCTCTGAATTCTAACCACTGAAAAACCCAACAGGTCAGGTCAACGACAACATTGGCTGACGGTGATGCTAAACATCTCGATTCGGTAGAAGATGCATTTCATAGGCTATGGGACTCTGTCCCAGTGGGTCGACTGATCAACGACGTAACCTTGTAACCTAACAGTCATAGGTTTCTGTCTGTCTGTTTTCAACATAGAACTTTGCACCGATGTGCAGAAGTTCAATTCGCCCTCCTTGTAGCACACAAAGCAAGAGAAGAAAGTAAAAGGAATGTATAATAGAGACAATGAACAGAGGTATGAGACAAAATGATTAGTAATAACGAAGAACAAAACAGTTTCATTGGAAATCACAAGTCACAGAGAGTGGATGCATCTGCGCCAACGAGAACAATTTTGAGCCATATCACCAATTGTCTCCAGCCACCATTGGTGTTTACCGTCCAGACGACCCCAACCAGGAAGTCTACACCTTCCTACGTATCTTAGACTAACTGGTGTCATGTTTGGTTTGACCACCGCTAGCTCTTTTCCAGCCTGACCCTATGTCAGCTAACATTGACCGTCAGTCGAGGAAGGCGATGACTAGGCATTCATTCGTAATACATGTCCTAACCATCTCAGTCGATGTAACTTAACAACCTTGTCGATTGATTTCTCGTCTTTACCTAGCACTCGACCGATGCCTAACCTCATTATTGCTCACTCTATTACACCACTTAACGCACACGGGAGATAGGACGCAGGCACCTATGATCAAAAACAGCTAGTCGGCCTTTTCATGTCTTCCACTTTCAATGGCCATGTGTCACTCACAGTCATAAAGGAGGACACAGCGGACTGCTGAGCAGTGATAGGTTTAATCCCGGTGGGATCATGGATGATGAATCATAGTTTGAGTCTCGGTCCCACAGCAGAACGAAACATCTGCCCAATACTTCCTAATTTTCAGTACCGCCTCCCCCCCCAACTAAATGATATCGATGTGTGATTTAACCAATCATATCCCTACAAACGAACACTTAAAAACTATTATTATTGTCTTTTTTTTCTGTTGTGTAGCTAAAACTATGGAGTTCTTCATATTGTAAATACAAGTATATATATATGTATATATGCTGTACAAAGCTGTCCAATTCGAAACCATTCAGGGAGAAACAACTACATAATATATACTATTATTTATAATATATACATATATATTGCAAATTATATTTAATAACACTGAAATGTCGTCATCTTGGTCATCAGAACAATTAAAATTCAGCGGTGAAGATTTTGACTATGATATAGATTATCTACTGTTTGGAAAGTATGATAAACTGAATTCTCATCCTGTGAGCAACTGTCATTCAGGACAATCATCTGTATATAATATATCCAATTCAATGACGATGATAATGAATCCGCCATTTTGTCTACCGAATCCTCCTCAACCTTCACCTCAACATCATCCTCATAATCCCCCCGCTCATCGTCATTCTATGCATCCAGTGAATTCAATTCTACCTCCTAGTCAACCGATGATAGCGGGTGTCTGGCGAAATACTGACCTATGCCTTGATAATTTCAATTATACTACGGGAAGTTTAAACATGAATCAGTTATGTGAGGATGATGTTAATCTCTCAAGGAATTCTGTTAATAATCATAATAATAGTAGTGATGGTGGTAATAATAATCACAGTGATGAGTATCTACACGATGACAGTGATGTTGAGCCCAAGTTGAATTTAAGCGATCCGTTGATGACAGATATTGCAGTTGGCGATTTAGGTAGGTTTATTCTTTCTCTGTAAATGTTTTTGGATGTTATTGTTTTATGTTCCTGACGCCACGTTAATTTCACACTATATATATATATATATATATATATATATATATATATATGAAGACGCTGACAAAATAGAGCAAAGTCTTCTTAACACCTTGAGCTACAATCTGTGAATGTTTCGCACGCGATTCACTCCTGTCAAATATGAAATGTTGCTACAGGATTGGACTGGACTACACTGACTCGCAGCTTAAAGATAGGAAGTCAAGTGTTGACCACTTCACTTATTTGGGGAGTTGTATCAGCCAACGCCAGGGGGTTGATCGCTGACGAAATCTCAGCAATGATGCAAAAGGCTCGTTTCTCTGGCGTAGACGTGAAATCCGGCTGGCTGTCGATCAAAGGGCGTGTGTACTTCTGAGCAGTCCGCTCCATCCTCTTTTATGGCTGTGAGTGACACATGGCCATTGAGAGTGGAATACATGAATAGGCCGGCCAGCTGTCTTTGATCATAGGTGCCCGCGTTCCATCTCCTGTGTTAGGTGGTATGATAGGGTGAGCAATATTGAAGTTAAGCATCGGTCGAGTGCTAGGTGGCTAAGGAGGGGAAATCAATCGACGAGAACGTGAAGTCACATCGATTGAGTTGGTCAGGACGTGTGTAACGCATCTAGAGCCACCGTCTTCCTCAACTGACAGGCAATGTTAGCTGACATAGGGTCAGATTGGAAAAGATAGAACTAGTGGTGGTCAAACCAAAACATGGCTTCATCAGTCAATGAAATTCACAACAGTTAGTTTAAGCCAGAGAGCCACGTAGGGGAGGGAGGTGTAGACTGACATCCTGGTTGGGGTCGTCGAGATGGTAAGAACCAGTCACAGCTGGAGACAGTCGGTGATATGATTCAAAATCGTTCTCAGTGTCTGGCGCAGATACATACACTCCTTGTGATTTATAATACTCAGGAAAATTATACTGTTCTTCGATATTACTATTCTTTTACCTCATATCTGTTTTTACTGTATTATGCATTTCTTTTTACTTTCTTCTCTTGCTCTGTATGCTACAAGAAGGGAGTGGGGCGACTTGAGCTGCCGCACATCGGTGGAAAGTTCTATGTTGAAACCAGTCAGGCAGGTAGGCTTACATAGCAACTCAAGATGGTTATAGTTCATCATAAGATTGAGTTGGCTGACATCATCTAGTATGGATGGCTAATCATTCTAATCAAAATGCAGCAGCTATCAAGGGAGTGAGAGGATTGACTACACTCTCTTTCTGTATGCATAAGTTTGGGAATGAAACGCTCCTATTATCATAGATAGCAGTGAATTTGAAACTAAGTTAAATGTTAATTACATAACTTGGATTGTGCATTTCCTCTGATCTTTCTATATCAAGCTGGTTTTTAGAAAGATATTTCGTTTGAACTGGTATCACTTATTCAGTCTCTACTTCCTAAGTTTGTTAATTTTTGTATTCTACCTACCTTTCTCCATTGTTCCCGCCTTAATCTTTCTTCGGCTACTTAAGAATGACCTTATGCAGGCTGCCCAAATCGCACTTAATCAGTTGACGACCAGTATCTGTAAGTATGGTATGTACTTTGAGCCGTCTAAGTGCAAAGTACTGTTACAAGATTGGCAGGAGTCTGTACCTGCATTCACTCTTGCGGGTGAACCGCTTGAAGTTTTTGATAAGTTTGTGTACCTGGGTAGTTGTGTGAGTGCTGGCGGAGGGGTGACAGATGAGATTTCCAACCGTATAATGAAGGCTAGGGTGGCATACATCAACTTGAGCCACCTCTGGCGCTGTCGCGACATTAGCCTGTCTGTCAAAGGTCGGGTATACAATGCTTCGTTGCGGGGTGTCTTGCCCTACGCCTGTGAAACCTGGCTTCTCCGAGCTGGGGATATGCGGCGGCTCTGCGTGTTCGACCATCGCTGTCTCCGCAGGAGTGCTTGCTTTCAATGGCATCATCGCGTGAGTAATTCTGAGGTTCGGCGGCGTGTGTTTGAACACAGTGGAGATCACCACTCATTGAGTGTCGTCATCTGGAAACACCGGCTCCGGTGGCTTGGACATGTGCTGCGAATGTCATCCGAGAGGCTTCCGTCCAGGTCTCTGTTCGCTAGCCAGCCCTGGGACGGGATGAAAAAGGTGGAGAGGTGGTCAGTCGATGACGTGGCGTTGTGGGATGAAGGATATTTGTGCTAGGTTAGCATTGGTTGGTGCGTCACGACTCTCTGGTTGGGGTCCGCGAGAGATCTCGAAACGCTATCGGATATGGCCAAGAATCGTAGTCAATGGCTAACGTGTTGCTATATTCTGAAAATTTTATGTTTCTGTCAGAAGTACTGTTTGGAATAAAGCTATAGTTAATATTACTTCTTAACTTGGTTTATATAGCATTTCATTCCCTCCTGTTTATGAATACAATTTTCTATATCAGTTAGAGAACCATTGAAAATCCGGGAGTAGTGGACAGCTGTTTCATCCTAGTTTGAGAATCATCGGCAGTACATACCCATCACAAGGGTTCGAACCCACGATCCTCCGGTTACAAGGCAAGCCCGCCGACCATTCAGCCGCTGAGACCCGACTCCTCAATGACTAGCCCATGAATTCTAACTTCTACCAAGTTGTCATTTAGCTCCACCCCAATCAATGTCATCTGTGGAACATCCATCCTCACACTTGACTAGATGAACCTCGCTGGTCGCGACTTCTCAATAGAACTCCAGGAAACGCCATCCTGTAGCCAGTAGTCACTGGCGAGCATCAGATTAATTTTCTATAGTTGGTTTGTAAGGATTAGTTTTGTTTTTACGAGTTGATCACGGACGATTGATATCAGTTAGAGTAGCATTGAAAACCAGCACTGGGGTACTAGACAGCTGTTTCATCATGCCGTACTGCCGATGATTCCCAAACTAGGATGAAACAGCTGTCCAATACTCCAGTGATGGTTTTCAATGATTCTCTAACTGGTGTCAATCCATGATCAACTCGTAAGAACAAAACTGATCCTTACAAACCAAATATAGAAAATTTTCTGTGTTTAAATATTCCCATCGTTAAAATTAGAACAAGATATATAAGTGAGCAATATTGTTTTCAGTTAGATCCAATTATGATTGCTGAAGGGAAAGATAAGCTGTCTAGCTGTGCCACTTCTATGTGAATTTATAAATTTACCTGCTGCTGCGGAGACAGTTGTATACGGGGAACAACTAGACAGCTCAACAAACGCATTACTAAGCATCTTCCTTCATGGTTCAGAAAAGACCCAATACAGTCTATAAGAAGTTCTATTTTGTCTCATTTGATTGATGATAGCTGTCATCGAGTGGATAACAGAAGAAGTGCCTTCAAGGTAATCCGTCTTGCTCCGTCGAACCTTTCGATGAATGGAATTTGAACTCGCCTTTTACACATAGCCGACAGAACAATCCTAGTCGTTGCACACTACAAAAGAAGCTTCTTCTACGTTTGTGTCTCCCTTGGGCTAGAGGAATTCAAATTTGAGAAAATGTCCCACTCTTATTCTTCATTTCTTTTGTGCTTTTATAATATTCATTTAAACTCAGATTACCTGTCTACTTTACTTTTAGTGTTATGTACCTTTTAAGCTCTGACCTAATTTATTTATTTATTTATTGAATTGTCTACATATATACACACATATTACTGCCTTCGTTATTCTTATCGCCAACTGCATGAACTCGGTGTACTTTCGTTAACAAACTCACCGTCATTAGTTAAATTTCTTATATACATATAAAGCTATGTAAATTAGAATAAAAAGCCTGAAGAATATCTGTAATTAAAAACAATATTGAATTTTATCATGACCTAACATCGTTTAGGGGACAATTAGAAAGTTTGGAAGTACTGTACAGCTGTTTCGTTAGCCTTGTTTGGGTTTCTTAATCAGTACGCACCGTGTTGACGACTTCACTTATTTGAGAATTTGCATCAGCCAACTCCAGCGAGTTGATCGCTGATAAAATTTTAGTACGGATAAAGAATGCTCTTATCGAATATGCTCACCAACTTCTGTCTGTCTGTCTGTTTGGATTCAACATAGAACTTGGTACCGAAGTGCAGCAGTTCCAGTTGACACGTTCCAAATAGCCCACAGAGGTAGACAAGAAGATGAGTGAAGAGAATCAATACAGTCTGACAAGTATAAGAGTGAAACAGAATGGTAATGGTAGAAAGGAATATGAAAGATTACAGAGACTGAATACATGTGCGCTGGCCACTGACAACGATTTTGAGCCATGTCACCTATTGTCTCCAGCCATTGATTCCTAGAGTCCCGAGGCGAGGGCCCCAACCCGGGAGTCTGCATCTCCCTATCTGACTCAGTTTAACTGCCAAGGATTTCATGGATTGATGAGGCCATGTTTTTGTTTGGCCACCACTTACTCTTTTCCAGCCTGCACCTATATCAGCTAGTAATGCCCGTCGTCAAGGGAAGCGATGGTTAGGCATGCGCAACACGTGACCTAGCCATCTCAATCTATGTAACTTTATAGCCTCATCGATTGATTTCCCCTCTTTGCCCAACACTCTACGCCTGATGTCAACATTACTTACCTTATTATACCACCTAACGTGAGAAAGAGATCACAGACATCTATGATCGAATGCAGTCAACCTTTTCATGTCTTCAACTCGTATTGGTCATGTTTCAGAGCCATAGAGATGGACGGAGCGAACAGCTGAGCAGTACACACGTCCCTTGGTTGATAACCGGATGTCACGCCTACGCCAGAGATGGTGTAAGTCAGCGAAAGCAGCTCGAGCTTTTCGGATCCGTGCTGAGATTTCATCGCCAATCAGTCCGTTGTTGCTGATACAACTTCCCAAATAGGTGAAGTGGTCAACATGTTCTATCACTACACTCCCTATCACTAAGTTAGGGGTTGACGTGGTCCAGTCCTGTAGCAGCATCTTACATTTGCTCACCAACTTACACCGTCTCTAGCTTAG